TGTGTTTCAGCTTTATAAAGGGGTGTATCCGGGCAGAGAACTATGATAGAAAAGTGAATGAATTTTGAATTACAGTTTGGAACCCACAGAAGTCTCTTTCTGAATTGCCTTGATGTTAACAAGGGTGAAGGCAGTCACACATTCCCCCTGGAACGTTCCCTGTTTACCTGATGTTTTCTTACTGCACGTGATCACCAGCTTCTTGAGCCATTTTTTCTCTGACTATTTAAGGTTTAAAAAATAAAACTTCTGAATAAATTCCTGGCCAAGTTCATTGAACTTGAATTCTCTAAGTGTGCTGAACACAAAGAGATGTTTAACCAGCCACCTCCGCTCCTGCAGTGTTGCAGCCACTCATTTTGCAGAGTAGTTTGAACTGGTGATTAGAGCTCACCTGCCTGGGAGATAAGTACCCCAGGGACAGTTTCCTCCACTGAACTTGTTCAGTTGAAAATCAAAGCTATGGGCAAGAGACTGGGTCAGGGTTAAACCACAGCTAGACCTAGGCTGACTATTATGCTGCTCCAGTGTGGAATTTGTATATCCATGATTATAAGACTGATGGATCAACAGAGTGACCATTTTTAGAGCTCTTTGTTAAGGACACTCATTATTTGCAGGCACAACTTCAACAACATGATGGGGTGGGGGTTGTGCCTCCCTCCTCCATCACATCTTTCTGAGTAGTTCAGCGACTCCAGCACACCTGAACAGTTACTTTTGAGTACTTTCAGAGAACATGGAAAATAACTGTTCCTTCTTGATCCAGGCCTGCTTTGCAATGTGATCTTAAACACAAAAGAAGACTTTCTATAAAAACATTCTCAGCTAAGCCCCACTAAAAAAAAAATATCCAGAATTTAGTAGTAGACCCAAGTTAAATCCATCAAATCCTTATTCTGATTTCAGTGGAGCTGTTATAACAAATGTTGAAATGTTGTCAAGATTGAACCCCTACATTAGGTAAAGTACTTATAAACTATTCTTAACAACTACATGACTTAACTTTGCTTTTGTTATTGTCATAACTTGTTTATCTGAACCTGATAATATATTTCAGTTCATATGTCTGCATCCAAATGATGGGAAACAGAACTTGATTCATCAAATGTTTCCAAAGTCTTTAGAGGAGAAAGACTTTAAATAACTTTTTTTTAAACTTCTTAATTTGTGGAGCAGAAGCTGTTTCTGTTCCATGTCAATATCACTTAAAATCAGTATAGAATTTTTAATATTACTGTCTTCACCTTCAAGTATGTTTACTGCACTACTGGGGTTCTTTCATTTGTTATGATTGAAAGAAGATAAATGTTATGTAAAACATAGTTTAAATAAATAATGGAAATGCACGTCTTTTCAAGCGTGTATCCTCAGTGGAGGAAAGTGATGGTTCAAGTATCTCAATTACAGAAAATTCTGAAGTTTGTGTTTAAGTCAAAATCAGATATAAAAATACTTTGGTCTGTTTAAACCAAATTCTCATATCTTGATTCAGATAAAGCAATAGCTGACTTTTTAGAAACCTATCTATTGATTTATATTTAAAACTCTACTTGTGGAGAAATACTGTAGCGTTTTACCTAAAGGATACTGAAATCAAATCCATAGTCCTGCCCCATGGAGGTTGGACCAGATAATCCACTGTGGTCCCTTCAAACCTCAGCCTCTCTGTGACCTTGCATGTTACATGGTGGTAATAAATAGTACCTTTAAAATTATTACTTTTTACATGTTACTCTGGCTAAGCTGATACTACTGAAATCAGATAAGATAATTATTCCTTCATTAACAGTATGTATGTTTTCTTCCATTTAAAGCAAGGAAAATGAGTGCTTAAATCAGGTTGAGAATTTTGCCATTTTCTTCACACAAGGCTCCAGTTTTTCACATCATTTCATTAATAAGGAAAACTGCACTTGGTTCAGAGCATAGCATACAAAAATACACAGGATACTATTTGTGCTTATATTGGAGGTGCATATTTCACTTGACTTGAAAGAAAACAAAACAAAATTTTAAATTTGGGAATTACCTATGGCTTGTTTATGAAAAATAAGAAAAAATTTTACATGCCAGTGAGAATTTTTTTGAGGAGTCACAAATCATTGATAAATGACTTAATGTGGGTATGATCTCCTTCTCCAGGTAGTTAGGGTGTAAGTCACAAACTGAATCCAACTCTGATTTTATTGGATCAGAGACACGTTCTTCTGTAACTCTTAAGTAATCATTCTAATGGAGTTTTATTGTTCATCATAACCTGAGTTATTGTGGGTTCAAATTCTGTTATTTTATCATTTACATATTAGTCTTGCTAAAATAATAGAAACTGACTTCACTAATCTTCCTTGTCACCCACAGTGAGTTCATCTTTTGGCATCTAAGAGGTAGTCTGCCAATACATCAGTAAGTGGTATTTCCTGGCAGCCAAATGAAATAACATTCTGTGCTCTCAGGTGATATTTCCTGAAGAATACTCAAGACTTACCAGTATTTTATTCTTCTCTGTATTGACACAATCTACCTCTAGACAGAGGTATTTCCTGACTCACATTCAAAGCTGTTCAGTTTGAAAGTTTACCCTGAAGGGTGTAAGGTATTTCATTTTGCTGATGTACCTGTATGGCTAAAAATTTTCAGTTTAATAATTTCGTACAGCTCAAAGGTAACTTGGATATTTTGAAGGGATTGAAATTCTCAGTTTTAGGACACTTAATAGAAGTTCTATGGGCTGTGTGCTGGCAGTGGTCACATGTACCAAAGGGTTCCCATACTCTGTTCTGACCACAAGTTGGCTGTTGGCATTCTCCTGTACGAAACACTGCTCCCCACTGCACATTTGTAGAGTTCTCATTCTCCTTAGAGATTCTGCATGCCATCCTTGTTGGCTTACTGAAAATTTATTAACCAGTATTTGTTAAAGACAAAATAGGTATGTTATGAGGTAGTTTTAAGAGGATTCCAAAGAGTCGATGGAATTCCATTAAAAGTTCTTCCAGTTGGTTATGGGGTTTTTACTTGTGTTTATGTACATTTAAGATTATCTTCCTAGTCTTCATTGAAAGGCTGTTTTGTTGTTAAAAATAATATCACATTGGTGAATGCTTTTGTACTTAAGCTAATTACATTGATGACCAGAAGCAGCCCTGTCATGATTTTCTATGCACTTACAGACTTCCCTAGCTTTTGTCTGTGCTGTGAATTAGGTGTAAACTCAAGCTCAAAGCCAATCTTTGGTATGAAGCATTGCTTAACAGAACATCTATCCATGCAATTCACTCTAGGCTTAAATTGTCCTTTCCCCAGCCTTCTTGTACCCACAGTTTCAGAAGTTATCCAGAATTCAGCCTCTTCCTAGGCTTAGTTTTGTCTAGCTGAGCACTCAGCAAGATTAAATAGGAAAAGCACAGGTCACAGGACTAAGCCAGCATGTATTACCTTAAACCTGCCAGTATAAATTCTGATCTGTGAGCAATTCTGGATTCAAGGAGAGAGTAGCAATAAGAACAGAGGCTACATGGGGATACGATTGTAGCTGAGCTGTGTGGAGAGATGATGCTCAAGGGACACTAACAAAAAGTTACATTGATTGTGTCTGTGTATGGGAAGCCAGAGGAGAAGACATAGAAATGAAGAAAGCTGCAGGAAAAGAAAAATGCCTTGAGGAAAGAAAGGAAAGGGGCATTTGGTCTTATGGTATTAGTTTTAAAACTGTAAGCAAAGAAATCATGTCCTGATGATAAATTTCTATTGCTTAGTTAAACCAGATTTCGGCCTCTAGGGGTTATTTGGCAAATACACAGAGCCATATCAAGGTCAAGGTCAATGATAGGTCAAGCCTATCATTATTTTTCCTTTCTAACTGTATCATGCCCCATTATTATACAATTATTCCTTCCTACCACCAACCAAAAAACATCCCTGAAAGTTTTAAAATGTGGCTTGCTTTTTATTTGTGCAACCCATTTGTTTCCCTGTTATATATCTCACGATTAGGCCAATTGAAAGATGAACTACTTTTACCTTCTGCTGTGCCAATGTCGAGGGAACACTTTTTCTTACAGGCAATATTTAAGTTAAATGAATCTTCTTCCTATCAGTTGTTTTACTTAATATATTCCAAAAATATTCTATTGTTAATTTCAAACCCTTTTTTCTTGCTTTACCCAGTCCTATTCTTAGGTCTAACTTTATGATGACAACCTTTAAACATATAGGCTATAAAGGTGCTGTTAGATGTCACTCATACACTGTGAAATCTTTTTACAACCTCCCCCTTTTGGCTTCTTGCTCAAGACTTGACTTCACTGGGATTTTCAAGGATAAAAATAAAACCGATCTTACAACTGATACAACAACTTGTATCTCTGTTTTCATGCAGTACACCAACCCAATAAAACGTTAGGAAAAACCATGTTCTTCAAAGGGCTGTTCCAAGGAAAGGGTCAAGGAGCTGTGATTTGACTGATTAAAAGAACAGAGAACTGTTTGTAAAAGCAGCTCCATGGTCAACATTATTTCAGCACTTGGTTATCCTGTCCACATTAAAAGAGATTACTTTTCACATGCTGATTTATACCAGTATACTTTCAAAAGTGCTTTAGAAGTAGTTTGTTAAAGGTATTAACAGATGGATGTTTTGACTTCAATATTGGCAAGTAGCCACTCTGTTCAGGTGCATAAAGTCAGTCCAGTTTGCTATACTGTTACTTATCAGCCTTTTCAATTTGTTCTAGCATCAGTTAAGATGGGGGGAACCACCAAAAACAAAATCTTTTTTTGAATGCTTTCTTTCCAATAAGATATATTAAATCCCGGTCAGGCCCTGAGGGGTAACGACTGTTACAGTTGCAGGAACTTGCTTAATATTAAACTGAATGTTCACTAATGGAAAAACAAACAAACAAACAACAAAAAAACCCCAAACACAACTATCTGAATATAATTGCTGTTTGTTACTTGTTTAGAAAACAATCTCTTTTTTTCTCCTCTCTTAACAGGTGGCCATTGATGAGCGCATCAGGCAACTGCATGAAGCTCACAGGGATTTTGGCCCCACTTCCCAGCATTTTCTTACCAGTGAGTAATTAACCATTTTTCTTGCTCAGCCTGCACACATAGTTAATTGATATTTTTTACCCATGTGCTGATTATCATTGCTGTGAGTTTCTATTTTAGACTGTGTTGTAATGGTTTTCTTTTTTTTTTTTCCTTATTCCTGGGTGCATAGGACTGTTAAATAAGTTCATATAATCCAGATCCAAGGTAACAGGAAAATATCTGCCAGTATCAAGTTTCTTTGTCCATACATCTGTCACTGCAAGGCTGGTCTTCATTGTTTAAGGATTCCTTTTTAGAACTAGCAAATTAAAAAATATATTTAAATGAGTTTCTGATGATTTTAACCCTGAAAGAATTAAAAAACTAACAAGCAAACAAAGCCAACCAAATTTAGTTTATCAGTTCAAAGAAATGTTCAGCTCCAAAAAGGGTCAAAATAAGACCTGCAAGAAAAATATTTTACAGGATTTGATGCCTTAACAGAGCAGTGAGCGGACCAAAACAGTGGTGGGAAAGTTGGCAGAAGAATGGGAACTTTTTACAACTCTGCATAAAATATAACTGCCAGTAAAATTCCTGCTCCACCTCCACACACATTCTTTTATTAAGGATGTTTTGAAGTACACTGAAAGACAACTTGAAACACCTTCAAAGCTCCAAGGCTTCTCGGAGGCCATGTCTTTTCTATTGTACTTCAATTAAGGAGAGTAAACAGTAAAGCTTTATTTAAGAGATTATATCAGCAGAACAGACCATAGTCACGGGATAATGGTCTCCTACATGCAGAGGGACAAGTTATCCAGCCATCAGAAATAGGTGTTACTATTATTGCACATCTACGTTCACAGTGGGATAGAGGACAAACTTTTCTTCAGCTGATACTGCATTGTAATTTTAATAGGTTAACCATTTTTCCACTGAAAATCTCAATGGGAAACTGAAAAGTCTCAGCAGGATGAACTGCAAATTCCAAACCAGAGTAAATATTTTGCCGTATAAGAATAATGCTGGCTGATTCAACCCTGCACCTCGTTTTATCAAATTATGATCCTATGAAGAAATTAGCCCTATTTTTGTACTTTTTTCAAAATCTCTTTTATTTAACTCTTAACCACTGGGAGTAATTTGTCAGCTCAGTATATATAACTGCAAATCAGACCTGTTGAGACTGAACTGAATGTGTGAAAGTTGTTACGGGTATGCGACATGAGTGCAATGTGTAAACAGATGCCTGTTGTTCTTATAACCCACAGTGTATTCCTGGTGAAAGAATAAATTTGTAGGGTAAATTATACAAGCCTGAAAAAGATTAGAGTGATCTGCACTACATTATCACACCAAACACCAAACAACATGTCCTTGTTCTCTGTGCTGGTGTTGAGTGCAGGCAATTTGAGTGATGGTTATGTCCTAGAGCCATTCTGCCTTATTACTGATAAATTAGATCAATCTAAAAGTTTCTCAGTGTTACCATTAGTCACCTTTTTCAACCCACTAACTAGAGCCAGCAAAGGGTGGAAATCATTCTGGACACTTCTCACCATTTGAGAATCACTTTGGGAAAAGGAAGCATGTGAAAATATGTTGAATTTGGAAACAGTCAAATCACTGAGGAAAATGGACATGTGTGATTGTTTGTTTGCTTGTTCTCTCTCTCTTAGTTGTGTGTGCAAATACATATTCTTACCCATGCTTGCAAAAGTTAGGTATTTGAAGCTCTGAAAATATCTACAGAATCTCTCACAAGTATAAGTGTTCAGTCACTGAAACTGCCAGCATCTATATCAGTCCCATCTTTCATGAGCACCAAATTCCAAAAGCATCCGGTTCCTCAGTATCATGTACTATTACTTTGCCCTAGGAAAATATCATGCTTTGACGTGCTTTTTATGTACTACCTCTGCTGCATCCCTACACGGATGGAAGCACATCTCTTGGAGAGATGGCACTGCAGGAGAGGGAGAACCACAGTCCTTGCCCTCTAGCACTAGTCTTTTTCCTGTACTTGCACTTTTGGGGTTGAACAAGGCAAACCTAAGGGCTACCAAACAGAACTGAGCAGGTCAAATGAGGGTGAATTTAATGGCTTTTAAAGGAGCTTTCAGTACATGGCAAACAGAGTCCAAGTTGATCAGTCTAGCTGTGGCAAAAGCAGTGAAGAGATGAATCATAGGAATTTTTCTGGTTTTATTTTATAAGCTCAACTCAGAGCATTTTTATCTAAGGACCTCAGATACACATAAGATTAATGCAAACTATAATCAGTACGGTAAATAAGCAATCTATTGGTTGATGCATACCTAGTTTATATGCAAGTAATAATCAGTTCATCCTCTAACTCAGCATCAACTTTCCCTCTACCATACATGCTTACTCACTTTAAGGTGCAAGTGATAATCTTCAGCTCCCAACTGTGTTTATATTCTTATATTAAAAATGGTCCTTTTAGAGTTGATATACCATTAAGTAGTTCTGCAAAAAGGGTGGTACTGCAGTCAAGCTCACATAAAATCAGTGACTGTATTACATTTTTCTCCTGTCTGAAAGAAATAAATATGAGCTGCTAATCTGTGGTATTTTTTCATGTGTTTGTTATTATTTTATACCTAGAAATTTTAGCATCGTCTGTCTGTTTCTGCTTGGCTGAAGCAGAAGCTGCATAGGGCAGTTGAAAACCAAGCACAAAAGTAATGATGGAGTGATGCAGGAATCTCATATTTGTCATGCCCTGTGCAGGCAAGGAATCAAGTGGTAGTCCCTTATTCTAAGCACTTGTAGGCTGTTCTAAGGGCTATTCTTAGAGCTGTTTCTGAGAGAGATTGGAAAGAAGGTGTGAGCTGGAGAGATAGGGAGTCAAAAAGTGGCAGGGACAGGGGCAGGGGGAAGTTTCCTCCTTTGTAACATTTGTAATTTAGGGACAATTTTTCTCCATTGTCTTTTCATACAGTTTGATGTTCTTTTTCCACTCTTTCATCTTCCAGATGACCAGGTGACAGTGTTTATCTGTGCTGTTGCACAGGGTAATTCAGATGTCTCCTGGTTGTGAGTTAAAAAGACAGTGAAAAGGGAAAGTTATGCACTAGTGTCTCTGTCCACCAAGGCTTTGCCCTCAAGTATCTGAGGCAAAAGTGGCCCTTACTTTTAAAAATTGACCCTTACTTTTCTGCTAGTGCATGAACTTGCCTCTCTCCACGCCTTCTACATTTTTTACTGGGCTCTCTCACCTCAGTCCTTAATCTTCTGATCTGTCCTTCATGATTCCCCAAACTCATTTCACTCTGCCTGTCTCCAGTCCCAGCTCCTCCTCGGTTCATTTGTTACCAAGAAGAGAGGCTCCCAGCATTCACAACAATAGTTGTTAAGATGTATCTGATAAATGTATTACATGTGCAAGACATTATATCATGAATTCATGGAGTGAGTTTGTTTTGAAGGACTTGTTTTTTTAATTAGAATTCTCCAAATCAGGGTGTAAAAAAAATAGCAAAAATAAGATCTTTCTATTAAAGAGAAACTTGTAAATATTTATAAAAGTAATTAGAAAAATCTGTGATCCTTTCATGGATGACGGTGCTTAATTTAGGAATTACATACAGTAATTGAGGTGTGAAAACGAGTATCTGCAAATTTCGAACATAATGCCAGCTCTGGAGTTTTCAGTGACTCCTCTGGAATAATCTTACTATTTTGACTTCATCTTTATTTTTCTCTGTGATTCTGCCTCTTACAAAGACTGGCATTCATTGTTTCTTGTTGGAGGACCCACCTATATTCGTCACAGTGGTTATTACTTTTTTTTTGAGATGCAATAAATGAGAGGAAGGATTGATGTCAGATTGGTTTTAATATCATTTGCTGTGCTCTCCAGCCTCCTATCAATCCTGGTTTTAATGGCATCGTTCATTCATGTGCATTGCTTACGACTGCTGAAAAATAGAAGGTATTACATCTTTTTAAAACATGAGCAAACCTTGTAATTTACTGTCCAGCCCCAGTATGAGGCATCTGTTAGTAAGTATAACATGTCAATGAAGTGACTGCGTGAAATAGTGCTCAAGATATAACCAGCAATTACTTAAGAGTGTGACTGGAAAATTCCAGGCATTACTTGTGATTTCCAAGCTCAGAGAACATGGACCTTCTTTAACGTGGAATAACCTGAAAATACAAGGAACAGAAAGAGCATTTAGGTTAGCAAGGCTAAAAGGCAGATATGCATCTAGCGAACATTTTGGGATTTGCATTTCCCAGGCTACAAGCTTTTGCTACCTGCATTCACCAGCACCAAACTGTTCAATCCTCACACCTAAATATGTGCTAGGACTTGTATTTTAACTGTAGATACCTAACTATGCCTTTTAATTTTGGACTTGTAAGCAAGAACAGCACTGACTTCAACACAAAACAAGGCACCCATAGCAGCCTTCATTCAGAAACAGAAAGGTGACTTATGCTGGGGCAAACAATTTGTATTGCAAGATCATGATCAGAGTGCATCTACTGCATTTTATATCAGACAATTTTTCTTAAAAATAAAATATATGGTCATGGGAGTGGCCTCTGTAACCTAGGTCTCTTTTTCTTGGGATAAGCTCAGAGCTGTTAGAAGTTCAGATCTGGCTTTTTTTTTTTCCCTTCTTTCTGTTCCTTTGTGTTTTCCTTCAGTTATTTAGGCCACTCTCCTGAGAAATTGGAGATGTGGGTCTGAATTCCTTCAAGCTGGAAGAGAAGACAAGTACTTACATCTCCCACCTCCTGTGTGAGTGATTAGATTATTATGCAAAGCAAAGATTAGGGAAGCTCTTTCTTGCACAGGCAGATGTCTTTGAAAGGGCAAGTCCTGCTAATTAAGACATCTGACTCTGAAAATGACAGGGCTCTATGACTTAAGACACTTCACCCATTCATCTGATAGATTATTTTTCAGTGCTAGCTACTGAAGCTTTCTTTCTTATTTCTTACTGCATACATTATGTCATATTGTCTTTCGGATATCACTTTTGACCAGCAAACATTGA